AGACATTGTGCATGTGTAGATGACAGCACATGCACAGATGACAGCTGCAAGAATAGGAATTTTCAAGGAGGTGTGGCAGGGTTGGGGAAACCAAACAGGTACTGTGTATTGGGTGAAGGCAGCCCTGGACCCTGTGTGATATAGACCTGCTCTGGTGTGTGCAAAAGTGATCTGAAATCATTTGGGGGAGGGACAAGCTCTCTGTGAGTCGCTCACCCTTTTGAGTTCTAAGCCATAGGACTAAAGTGTTTCTTTCATTCTATCCTAATGTGGCCTTGGTTATGCTGCACATGGTCATCTTTTCCTGATATGCCATTTTATGGACTGGTACCTTCATGTAAGGGACGCGGGTGGCGCTGTGGGTTAAACCACAGAGCCTAGGGCTTGCCGATCAGAAGGTCAGTAGTTCGAATCCCCATAACGGGGTGAGCTCCCGTTGCTCGGTCCCTGCTCCTGCCAACCTAGCAGTTTGAAAGCACATCAAAATGCAAGTAGATAAATAGGTACCACTCCAGTGGGAAGGTAAACGGTGTTCCTGTGCGCTGCTCTGGTTCTCCAGAAGCGGCTTAGTCATGCTGGCCACATGACCCGGAAGCTGTACGCCGGCTCCCTCGGCCAATAAAGCGAGATGAGCGCCGCAACCCCAGAGTCGGTCACGACTGGACCTAATGGTCAGGGGTCCCATTACCCTTTACCTTTACCTTCATGTAAAGAGCATGTTCACAGCTGCCCTTTTGGGATCCTTTTAATGAGGATTTTGTTATTTTTACCGTATTTTTCGCACGATTGGACGCACCGGACCATAGGACGCACCTAGTTTTTTGGGGGGGAAATAAAGGAAACAATTTTTTCCTTTATTTCCCCCCCAAAAGCAGGTCAGGGAAACCGAACCAGGTCGAGGAACAGCGGGATAGTGGCGCTGCGCCTCCCTGCTGTCCCCCGAGCTTGTGGGGTTGGCTGATGTCTGCCTGGCGCGCGGGGCGCTCTGCTTCAGGGCGCCCCACCCGCCAGGCAGCAGGCTGCTATCCGCAGCGTGGGGAGCCCTGTGGGGAACTCCTGCAAGCCTCCCCATGCTGCGGATGTGTTCCCGAAGCGCCTGGAGCTCTGCTTTCAGGGCGCCCGACGCTCCGGGAAGCAGGCTGCTATGGCTAGCAGAGCACTAATCCCGAACCTTGGGGCGTGCGGAGCTCAGCGCGCCCCAAGCTTCTGGGCGCCGGCAAGGTCTCCCGAAGAGAGCGCCGGCAAGGTCTCCCGAAGCTTGGGGCGTGCAGAGCTCTCCCAGGGCTAGCGGAGACCTTGCCGGCACCCAGAAGCTTGGGGCGCGCTGAGCTCTGCACGCCCCAAGCTTCGGGATTAGCGCAGCGCTTCGCTAGCCCTGGGAGAGCCGTGCGACGTCGCGGGGCTCTCCCAGGGCTAGCGAGACCTTGCCGGCACCCAGAAGCTTGGGGCGCGCTGTGCTCCGCACGCCCCAAACTTCGGGATTAGCGCAGCGCTTCGCTAGCCCTGGGAGAGCCGTGTGACGTCACGGGGCTCTCCCACGGCTAGCGGAGACCTTGCCGGCACCCAGAAGCTTGGGGCGCGCTGAGCTCTGCACGCCCCAAGCTTCGGGATTAGCGCAGCACTTCGCTAGCCCTGGGAGAGCCGTGCGACGTCGCGGGGCTCTCCCACGGCTAGCGGAGACCTTGCCGGCACCCAGAAGCTTGGGGCGCGCTGAGCTCTGCATGCCCCAAGCTTTGGGATTAGCGCAGCGCTTCGCTAGCCCTGGGAGAGCCGTGCGATGTCGCGGGGCTCTCCCAGGGCTAGCGAGACCTTGCCGGCACCCAGAAGCTTGGGGCGCGCTGAGCTCTGCACGCCCCAAGCTTCGGGATTAGCGCAGTGGTCCGCTAGCCCTGGGAGAGCCGCGCGACGTCGCGGGGCTCTCCCAGGGCTAGCGGAGACCTTGCCAGCACCCAGAAGCTTGGGGCGCGCTGAGCTCTGCACGCCCCAAGCTTCGGGATTAGCGCAGTGGTCCGCTAGCCCTGGGAGAGCCGCGCGACGTCGCGGGGCTCTCCCAGGGCTAGCGGAGACCTTGCCAGCACCCAGAAGCTTGGGGCGCGCTGAGCTCTGCACGCCCCAAGCTTCGGGATTAGCACAGTGGTCCGCTAGCCCTGGGAGAGCCGCGCGACGTCGCGGGGCTCTCCCACGGCTAGCGGAGACCTTGCCGGCACCCAGAAGCTTGGGGCGCGCTGAGCTCTGCACGCCCCAAGCTTCGGGATTAGCGCAGTGGTCCGCTAGCCCTGGGATAGCCGCACGACGTCGCGGGGCTCTCCCAGGGCTAGCGGAGACCTTGCCGGCACCCAGAAGCTTGGGGCGCGCTGAGCTCTGCACGCCCCAAGTTTCGGGATTAGCGCAGTGCTTCGCTAGCCCTGGGAGAGCCGCGCGACGTCGCGGGGCTCTCCCAGGGCTAGCGAGACCTTGCCGGCACCCAGAAGCTTGGGGCGCGCTGAGCTCCGCATGCCCCAAGCTTCGGGATTAGCGCAGTGGTCCGCTAGCCCTGGGATAGCCGCGCGACGTCGCGGGGCTCTCCCAGGGCTAGCGGAGACCCTGCTTGCACCCAGAAGCTTGGGGCGCGCTGCGCTCCGCACGCCCCAAGCTTTGGGATTAATGCTGCGCTCCGCTAGCGGTGGGAGAGCTGGGTCTCCCACGGCTAGCGGATAGCTTCCTGAAGCCTGGAGAGTGAGAGGGGTCCGTGCGCACCGACCCCTCTCACTCTCCAGGCTTCAGCGAAAGCCTGCATTCGCTCCATAGGACGCACACACATTTTCCCTTGCTTTTTAGGAGGGAAAAAGTGCGTCCTATGGTGCGAAAAATACGGTAATTCACTGCAAGATGGAGAACAAGGCAAGTACTACTGTGCCATCAAAGCCAAAGGACAGGTTAGTTCAAATGCATGCAGATACTATCCTAGGCTGGGAACCAGCACAGGAGGCATTTGCACTGTCACCACATTTCCAGATATGTGATGTAAAGTAGGACCTCCTAGGGGACATTGCTCATATGTGTATCTTTGCATCCGTCCCTTGCAAATTTCATTTTATTGCAGTGCCTCCTGCTCTCAGGTTCTTTAAGACAATTTTGACTTTAAATTAGTCTACTCTCTAATCCCCTCAGGTTTATACTAGCAATAAACCACACATTCATCCAATTTATTACTGAAGATGTTGAAGAGCATGACCTCTACCTAAGACTGCTGGGTATTTCTTCCTAATTTGAAATCAAATTATTCTTCATTATTACACTTCAGATCTGTCCTTACATGATCAACCTTTGGAAAGTAAAGAGAAAAGGAAACATTTGGAGATGGACTCCAAGTCCCACCATTCTTGATCATTGGCCATGCTGGTTGGGGATGATGGGAGCTGGAGTCCAAAGACAACTGGAGGATCACTGGTTCTCAGGAATAATCAGGGTTCTAAAATGTTCGGAGAGCCTCCATGCATACAATACATTTCCCACTTCAGACAGTCAGCTTTCGTGGATTGGAAGGCAACAGAAAAAGCAGATGAGGGGAGTCACCCTCCTCGCTGTCCACCCCTCCCATCATGTGTCTACTTTCCTAGATTTCTAATGCCTAAAGAGGGCTCATCCCTGCACTGGATGAGGATAATATTAAAAGCACTCCCATTACCAGACAATGCCTCAATTTGGCATTTAATAAAAGCCACAGGTGACCCAGGTTTTTCTGACATGCATTAATAACTTTATTAGTAGGTTACTGGGTCTCCTTTAACAGTTTTATCTTCAGAGTATTCCTGCCATAGCACCACAGAGGAGCAAGATTTGCTGATATTCTACCAGAAGGCAAATAAAAAGGTAGTTAACGTCACTGTAATAAAATGTAATCATCTATAATGTCTGCTGCTAATAGAATAAAGCCCTTCTTTTTCACAGTGGCTGGAGATGGATGGATTCCAGCAGGTGGCTGCTTTGTGAGGTTTGCAGATATTTTTACGACAACATTTCTCTTTGTGCACTAGCAAAAAAAAAAAAAAAAAAAAGGAGAGTAAAAAGTGGAATTTAAATATGGCATTTGTACCGGTGAAACAATTATTATTATATATTTATTTATGGCCCACTCTTTTTCCCTGACAGGGAGTCAAGTGGTTTGCAGATAAAATAGGGTCAGTGCTCCGACTTCCTCAACAAACTCCTTTATGTCTCTAGGCCCATTTGGGCCTTATGTTCACTCTTGGGATTGTCACTGTGTGGCGCACGGGCATAAACAAAGTTCTAAATCATAGAAGCAACCCCTGCAAGTAAATGAAACTCCCCAGTGTTGGAATGGCAACGGCAGGGATCTTTCCATTTGTAACTCAAGGGTTATAATTATGAACCACAAAAAAAAACACCACATGTAACGAATGAATCCCACCCCTAGTTAATGTTATAACATCAACGTTCCAAGAAGGGTACAGGTGGATATGTTGCTTAGCAATGAGGCAGAGTGGTACGATCTTCAGTGAGGTAACAAGTGCTCTGACTTAGGTGTGTAGCTTGGAGGGAGGTCTCTGGGTATTTTTCTGCTATGTACAAAGTCTGAACTAAGAAACACAACGCCTCTTCGATTCTTTTCTCCTTAAATTATACACTGTTTTTGTTCTGTTTGCTCCGGAAATTGTTATCAGGACTTTTCTTTCTGGACTTCATTTGCATTGTTTAAGCGGCTTTCCTAACACCTGGCTCAGAACCGTGCTCTCCAGCTCATGGAAGGATGTGGTGCCTTGGAGGAGTGGGGCTTGCCAATGTGCCCTCATTCTCCCTTGCACAATGACAGTTACAGAACACCTGAATAGAGCTTTTGATGTTTACTGTTAAAAGTAAATATGTCTTCCATTTTGAACCTTACACCAAGTCAGATCATTGGTCCTTCTAGCTTAGCATTGTCTACCCTGATTGGCCGTGGCTCTCCAGGGTTTCAGACAGCTATAGGTTCTCAGACCTATCAGGCAGGAGCTGCTTGCAGTAGCTTCAGTAATCCTTGTAGCAGTAAACTTTGTAAAGTAATACCAGTATTCATTAGTACTGACATGAAATGGCTAGCCCCAAATTTCCACCTCATTCTGAGACTTCAAAAAGAGGCAGAGGCCTTCATCCCTGCCCTGGAAAAAAACAAAACACTTTACTGCAATAGCCAGTTTAAAAGCTACCACATTTTACGTGACCAAAGTACTTGAAGCATCTGGAGTGAGGACGAGGTAAGGAGAAAGGTTTTTTTTTAAAAAAATGAATGCCTTGTGCAGCAGTGCAAATAAGCACAGGAAGTTTCTCCTGTGTTTGATCTTGCCACAACAGCAGTATTGCTTTTTCACACACATAAACGCCACAGGCTGATAGGTGATTTTTGCGCTGCCCACCACCCTGCGTAGATGGGACTGGTTTCACCAACTCCTAAGTAAAAGAGGCAATGTTTAATAGAAGGAGAGCAAAGGAGGAGCAGTGGCACTCAGCCTGGCTAGTGACCACTATTTTTATTTCCCGCAATTACTATAATGGGAAGACAAGACAGGAGTTATCATGCAGCTTAATTCCTGGGATGCTTCAGGAGGAAAATGGCGGCCGTCACTAGTATTTCTCCCAAAAGTTTCCAAGGAACGATGGAACATGCTGGCATAGGAATATTCTGTCAGGACTTGTCAGAAATGAAAATAGCAACTGACAGCTGTCCAGAGAGGTGCCTCTCTCTCTGTAAAACTTGCAGCAGTGGTGAAGTGGGGGATGTTTTAAGAGAAATTCTCCTACCACAAATTCTAGTCAAAAGTTCCTGCTAAGAACTTATTGGCATTAATATTTGTAGGGAAAAATGCTCCACCCAGCAAGTAGAAGCTTACAAAAGTGAGGTGTCTTGTCTCTTTGTTCTGTATATAGCCCAAGAAAACAGTGTTCTGCTGTGCTCGTTTCTCTGGCCTGCAGTATTAGGCATAACTCTAGGGATTTCCTTTCACTGCTAAACATCTGAGGAGCTGAATGGAAAACCCTGGGGTTTAGGGCAGAAGGGAGCCTACCTTTTTCTCTTCAGCTATTGTGGAGCCTTAAGAGCAAGGCTTTCTTGGGAGAAGTCTGGCTTTACATTCTAAAGTGCGCTCTGAGGGAAATCTGAATTCCCCACATGGCCTGTGAAATAACTTTCCATCCTCCCTCGCCGTCTCAGGCTGCCACAGCGCTGACAATTGAGCAAAGGGTGAGTTCTGAAAGGCTTGGAATGGTTTTTACAGCTGGAGGGTGCTGGGGAAACTTGCACCTTGGATTCTGCCTCTCTCTCTTTGCTTCGTTTTGAAGACATATAATTTACCTGCCCTGCTCCATCTTTCCTAAACCCTTCATCCTCCTGCATTTCAAAGCAACAGCAGGGAGGCAGACAATGGCTTTGGCAGGATATCGGTTAGACACCCAGATGTATAGTATATTATGCTGTGCTGACTTAACGTTGCCTCTCAAACATTATAGCATCATCTCCTGGTTTTAAAAGTTCGCGTCTCCGAAAAGGGGCAGCGGTGGTGGTGATGAATAAATATTGCTGTAGCAGCATGCACAAGTGATATTCTGGGACGCAACCAAATGAGTCAGTTTAGCTGACACAAAGTCACTTTGATTGTTTTCCCTCCCATCTGTTCCTGAAATGGATGAAAGCGTTTGCTATATTGGAAGTGCCTTTTTGACCTGATGCACTGTACATATTTGCCTTTGAAACGAACACACACAGATCTCCCTAGTACTTTGATTAGACTGTGTTGGACTATGAGTAGGGATATGCAATCAATCGCAGTTTGCAGTTAAAAGTTAACCTACCTAATTCACACCTTCCAAAACAATACACAAACTGAAACACAGTCAATCCTTTGAAATTCTCACTTCTAATTTTACCGTGCAGTTCTCCAGCCAAGTAATGAGTACAAAATGCATAAGCTAGGATAAAATGTGCTTTAAAAGCATATATTGGTGGATACAAGACACAACAATGGGTGGGGAGAGCTTGGCTGAAATCCCTACTCAGCCATGAAGCTGACCTTGGATTAATCATTTTCTCTCAGCCCATCCTACCTCGCTGGGTTGTTGTTCTAATGAAATAGAAGGGGAAGGAATGGCGCGTGTCGCCTTTGCTTCATGGAAGAAAGGTGGAGTATATGGTAAATGCAGTACGAGTAAACCCATTGTTTCCTGTTCTCTAATGGGATGCGTCATTCAGTTCCTGCTGTGTACATCAACCTTAAAAAATATATTACTGTTATCTCAACAAAAACACAACTTTGCTGCTTGTTAATGAATTCCAGCCTTATACCTTGTCATCCAAGTTAAACACAAGTTAGTGAGAAATTGTCAGCCAGGCTGTCAGAACGAGCCACACGGTTGAAAACCCACATATACCAAATGGCAATATTAACGTACTTAGATTTGTTGCGTCTTATCTGCAAGAACAGTTCAAGAATCAGAGGTGTGTGGGAGTGGGAGGCAGGTGGTGGAGGAGAAGAAAGGAGGTCAGGGCAACCTAGAGCGGATTTTTTTGTAGCGGGAAAGCTCTGCATTCCTTCAAAGAATTAAAAACAGATTCCCAGGCTGAATCCTGGCACAATGAAGAGCGCACACAGTAAGGGATAAAAACTGTGGGCAGATATTTCAGTGAGGAAGGACCAGAAAAGGTATTATTGGGGTTAGGGGAAGCCAGAGTAAATATATATTTCAAAACAGATACCTTTGGTACCTTGAAACCTTAAAAACAAAAATGTATGATCACACTCTTTTAAGATGAGCTGCAAGTTGCTTAGTCTGCCCCCACTATGGAATGTTTAATATTGTTATTTTTTTAGTTATTTGGTTTACTTTTTGTATTTTTAAATATGGCATGATGCTATGTGTTTTGTTTTGCTTTTTTGCAAGGCACTTAGAAAATCTTATTGGTGGCTGGGATTATCGAACAATTAATTAATTGATTAATGCTAAATACATTACTGTGGAGATGGACTCTGCTCTCTGAATACACATTATGTTAGCAAAGGAGAGTGGGCCACACTTATCAGGAGTCAAGCTATTGTGAATCACTACATGTCCTATTCCCTGTGAGCCTGGGTCTTCAATTATAATTGTGCAGGAGGGGGGAAAGAGAGGAGATGCAGTCTCCACATGCTCAGGGGGACTTCTCTTGATAGGTTCCAGGTAGGGGACAAATCAGATTCAGTTCACATTTAAATTCAAATTCGTCAAATGTACACTTTCCAGAGCCACAGGAGAACAGCCATCCTTCAGAAGTTGCCCTTATACTTGTTTTGCAAGGTAGTTCTCCAACTAACCATGTTCTAAAAATGCATAGATTAGGCGAAAGTGTGTGTGAAATTGGATATATTAGCGAAACTAACATTCAAAATGCATTATATCACTGAGATGCCTTATATTAGGAAAAATTGCTTTCAAAAAATGTGTGTGTTAGTCAAAACTGCATACAAAAATGTGTTTGTGAGGAGAAATCTGCCCTCAGTTGCTGAAGAATTATTTATTGCTTGAATCGTATACCCAAACCAGGGCACTAGCCTTTACAGCACCTACACACCATATTGTGCTATAATAGCCTCGACAGCTAGTATTTTATACTTACAGCCTTTGATGTCTATTTCCCCCCATATGCACAGTTTAAAAGGACATTTGATTTCCTGCAGCTGAGTGCTCACATTAGCATGTAAGCGCATAACATACCAATTTGACAGGGTGGCTGGATTTTGCAGATGGGGTGTGTGTGTGTGTTGCTGTCACTTTCATTTCAGAAGTTGCTCATAGAAACTAATATCTGAGAAACTGTTGGTGATTAATCTGATAAGCCAGCACTAGTTAACATGAACTGAAATCCCATGGAGGTGACAGGGGCACAAACCCACCTCAGTCATTCAGAAGTGTGGGGTGGAAGACGATCTTCCTAGCGGCTGCATTGCTTCCACTTATTTGGAAGAAGAGGGGAAGGAGGAGGTGGCAAGGTGTATCTACACCATGTACTGTAGATACACAGGTGGAGCCCATCCATGTTCCCATCGGTGTACGAGAACTGTAGTGACCTTCTCACTGCCTCGCTGCTCTCAGTAAGGGTGCATTCAGACATGGGGAATAATACACTAAACTTCATTCACATCACTTCTCCTGTGATTTCTCCACAAAAGCATCAGGGAATGCTTGTATGCTGTTATGTTGTTGTTTAGTCGTTTAGTTTGCGTGTTGAGTCCCACAATGCCACCCCCCAAAAATTCACACTTCACACATCAATTTTTGTTTAAGGTTTTTGGCATAATTTTGGCCACAACTTTATTCAAAATACAAAAAATGTGAGTGGTTGCTTAGGCATTGGTTATGACTATCTGTCCTTGCCCTCAGGGACAGAGCTGGCCTTCCGGACACCAATGGAAGCCAGCGTGGGAAACAAGTATTGGGTGGGAAAATGAAGCTGGGCATTAGTCCCTCACTTCTCACCCTCATGTTCCTGTGGGGCTTGCACGGCCCAAGTCCGATGCCAGGGACAAGGACGAAAATAATGGCAAGCCCCTGGATTCCTTTAACGGAATTCCCTTTCCGCATCATTTGGAGGGGTAGGCACTTACCCCTCCAAGCACCAATTTAACCAATGCCCAACCGCCAACCTTACAAGTTGTGACGATTTGCTACGCAGTAGGCAAAAACCAAATGGCACCAGCCAATCAGCCAGATGGCAAAATTCCTACCAGGCCCCCGCTCCAAGGCGGACGACCCCATGACAGGCATAGCAAGGTCAAGCGATCAAGAAAAAACCACCCTATTAAAGGGAGGGAGGGCGGGTGATCCGGTGCAAAACGGCCAAGAGGATGTCCAACGTCTGGCCCTGTATTTAAAGACTCTGACCCGTCCTCCAAATTGGCAACAATCAAAACTCCCCAGCAACCCAATTTTAACCACTTAAAGGCTTGGGTTCCTCACCAAATCTGCCCAGTAACGGCAGGGTGGCTTGTCCCCCCAACCGCAACACGTGCTCTCTGTTAGGGAGAACACGCTTTGTGTCCGACTCTTCGTGACCCATGGACCAGAGCACGCCAGGCACTCCTGTCTTCCACTGCCTCCCGCAGTTTGGTCAAACTCATGCTGGTAGCTTCGAGAACACTGTCCAACCATCTCCCCAAATATTATCACTTTACTTTTGTGTGTTTCCAGGTTAAGGGGCCTGCAAATTGATTCCTCCCCCCTCCAGAAT